ACGAATGTCCCAATATGTACACCGTATACACAACCCCTTTCCTTGCCACACTTCATTATCTCAAGTCGCTAATACCTGGGCACACCTCCGATGGCCTCATAGGAACTTTGTCATTCCTCCTCCTCAGACCTCACCCCTCACTTAGTCACGTCTTAACCCTGCACAAGTCAAGCATTACCCCTTCTCTTCAACCCTCCCCTAATCAAGTATCAAACCTGCACTAGTCAATCCTCACCCCTGCATTTGTCAGTTATCATCCTTGCTCTAGTCAAGCCTCATTTCGCTTTCTCACCCCTGCACTTTTTTGCACGATGAGCTTTTCCATTGGCCGAAAAACATGCAAATTTGACAACAAAAAAACGCGTGGAGCTATAAGCTTGGGAAAATGTAGATAGCAATTATCATCGTCATAATTAGCTATGATTAAATTAATTTAAATTACAATGTTGCTAGCTAATATGAATGTCATACATTGGCACTACACTGGCAGTAAGTTAACACAACCACTCCACTTCCCAGATCTAGGATAACCTATTAAAATTCTGGTACATCACCATAGCTAAATAACATCGGTTGGTTTAATCAATAAAGCAAACCATGGCCATTTCAAAATGAAAGCTAATTAATTGGCTATAACTCATTGATCCTGCTTTGTAAATAGACCTACCCCATCTATGTAGTTTGGGTGTTAGCTAGCTTGTCAATAAAAGAACACAGCTAGCTAGCAAGTTAAAGATGGAACACCCAGTAGGGAAACCAGTGCCACTGTCCGTCCCACAGCCATTTTCTTTTGACGAAGCAGAGCTGGGAAGCATCGCAGTAAAATGTACTGCGGTACATAATGCTGCTGTTGTATCACACGTGCAATGATGTCCCTAAACTATTGATGTCCCTAAGCTATTGTTGCTAGTATTGTTTAAATTAATTTAGTCATGATGATAAATGATTGCTAGCTGGTCAATAGAAAATCTCATTGTGATTTTAAAATAAACAATGTGCTTTAATGCAAGGGTGAGAGGTGAGTCAGAGGGTTGATACCTGACCAATGCAGGGTTGAGACTTGACTAGGTGAGGGGTGAGGTCTGAGGATGAATGACAAAGTTCCTAATATGTATTATGTACTTCTAACACCAATACAATCCTGCTGTCTGCCAATCAGTCCAACACCTTAGCCACTACACCAAATACATGAAGTCACTGGTGTCAAACAAAGGAGGATGCCTCTTACAGTATATCAAGCATCAAGAAAACAGCAACTCCAAAATGTATCTGATGTTGATTTCACCAGACATCTTACAAGTGTTACCTGGCATGTCACACCAAGCAAGTATTCAAATCATTGCAAAGCGGTAAGGACCAAAGTCTTTTAGTCTCACTTTCTGCAGCGCCTGAACATTCAGTTTTACTTGGCTCTTCAGCGCTATTTTGACTCCAAAATCTGAAAAATGCATGAAATTCCATGAGTAAAGGCACTGATCGGTTGGCAAATTCTTTGGACATTTTAAGAATGATGGAAATCCTTTCATAATAATGAAAGGACCAAGTGAGGAGGAGGGTTAACACATTCAACATCATTATGTGACAAAAAGTTAAGTATTGTGAAGATTGTGCTTTTCATTATCCTTACTGTAGCATAACATTGTCATGAGAACTAGACTGGTTAAAATACTTGTTGGCAGTCTAGACATGTCTACTGTGATTGTATTCCAGTCTTTACCCATCTGAGAACCAAAGAAAGTGACAGGGAAAAAGGAAACAAAAGAACAGACTCAGTACAAGTTAATTCACTTTTTTATACCATACATAAGACCAATGAATATAATACAAAGGGCTTGTCCATTTATTTTTATTTTTTTTGTAACATTCTCATATACAGAGCAAGTATTGACTAGATCTTACAATCTGTGGTACTTCTCCTTTCCCATGCCGTTTAATCTTTACAGTGCACGTCAGACGTCCTGTAATCAAACTGTGTTGTCGATCACTCAAAACCAGATGACTGGGGGACAGGAAGGCAAGGGTGGCAATAAAATGCCTTTATTAAAATGAAACAGGGAGCAGAGCAGAACTTATATTCAACACTTGGGAGTAAATGTTGGATGTTTGTTGACGATGCACTGGTTATATTGTGTCGACGATCATGGCTTTCACACACGTATCAGTAGCCCGACTGCAAAATGGCCCCACAGTTGAAGCTTATGCCAATTTCAATGCAACTAAAAATAGTTCCTGTAATGTGTACATAATTGCTTATGTATTTATATATTAAAACACAGCTGTCATTCAAGTTTGTAGACACATCCACACACTATACCCTGTCTCTAATATTTAAGGTATGAATATCTACTCTCCTGTTAAAATTTAAACCCTAAAAGTTTTGCATTTGTACTGGCATTGTCAACTACTTTGGCCTGGAAGCACGGTTACCCATTGACTAATATCACAGAAGAACTTCCACTGCATGGTCTCCACATTGACTTAAATGTACTCAAAATACCATTAGGAAAAAAGTAGTGAGTTCTAAACTTCCTTTATTAAAAAAATACAAATATATACATAAATTCTATTTCAACTATTAAAATGGGGTTGAAAAGTAAACACCTGAAGCCTGTGTATTCATGGACACCTTTCCTCTAGCTGTTGCCACACCCTTTAATTTTTGCAACGGGTACAAAACTTACGCCACTTCTCCCGTATCCTCAGGCGTCACACAATGAGACTGGAGTATGACGCTCCAGCAGGCAGGGCTCACTTCTCACACCATCCGTCCCTACTAGTTTCCTTTTGGATTCAACACCCATGGTGAGAGCTTCAGTCAAACGTGGATTTTAGCTAATTTAGAGCAGTATCCCATCTAAAATGTGGATGTGTACAGTGCCTCTGCTAGCTAGGTCAAAAAGGGTTGCTTCTAAATTGAGGGGGAAAAGAGGCACCATTTTAGCCACTGCCATGAAGACTGCCGAAAGTAGTTTTAAGGCGGCTTTATCCAGATAGGCACGTTTGAAACAGCCTCTGAATTCCTGGTCACAAATTGAAGGATTAATGCACTGTTGTTCACATTTTTCCTCTCGCACTTTTGACTCATGAATACGAGGACTTGCCTCAACTCACAGCCACCATACTGATACTCCGGAACCCGCAGAGTAGCAACCAGCGTTGGCATCTATTGTCCCTCAAGTCCTTGAGAACGGAAAAAATAGTTATAACAATGAGATTTGTTTTTGATTGTTTTTTTGTTTTTAGAGCGAAAAAAACCTTACAACCAATTCTGTCGAGGATACAGCTAACAGTACATGTACTGAGTTCAACAACAGTTCCAGTTTTGCTAAAGCAATAGATACAGCCATTTTTACTGACATTTAAAAAAAAGGTCTTGAACACCTTGTGTCAAAGTGCAGAACTGCTACATTATTGGTTACAGACATCTATGTGCTATAAAAACAGCTTTGGTACAATAAATTATCAAAAGGGAAAATAAATTCTTGTAAAATTCACAGCATAATTGTGAGGCAAAAAAAGCAGTCACATAAAATTCAGCATGTTTTCATTTTGAAGATGAACAGAATACATTTCTGCAGAAGCTCTGTTGGAGGAACCACATGCTGAAGAAACAAAGCAAAGAAAAGCAAGTAAAAAGTAGGAAGGGACACCGTCATAGCTAATTCCACCCATCTTGCAAAAAAAATACTTCTGTGAACTTATAAGGCCTGGCAATCACTGGGCCTCACAAGTCATACATTTTAGTTAAAGGCCTCAAATTACCATTCTCAAAACACATTTTTTCCTACTTTTTCTTTGTAAAGAATTAATTTTATTTTTTATCCAGACTTCAAAAATACAGGAAAGCTATTTTCTCATTTAAACGATAATGTCCAGCTTCTTACCCCACCCTCCCACCCTTAATTTCAGAGTCCCAAAAAAAAACATAAGGCCCGGACATCTGTACTGTAGGTTTGGGCTGGATCGGCCCAGGCCGCTGCCCCTCAGTACATCTCTTCAGTGTGGCCTTTTTCCAGTCCAGGGGAGGGCCAGCCTTTACTGGCCTGGGGCCTTCCAGCATGGCACTCTGCTCCCCAGCTGCAGCGCATCCACATCCCTCTCATAAAGAGAGCATGACACAGACAAACCCAGCGAGATGGAACATCCCTGCATAATGCTTCAAACCTCTGCCACTCTATAGACAGGTTTACTACAAAGCAGGATCAATGAGTTAGCCAGCCAACTTGCCTAAATATTCTGTTTTTTGTTTTGTTTTGTTTTTTATATATGCTTGACATTGGAATGGTCTAATGACACAACAACCAAAAACACATATCTAAGTTTAGCTTTCTTAATGAACCAGAAAATATAAAGTTATTTCTGGTTGTTTATCAAAGTTAGCTGGCTAACTCATTGATCCTGCTTTGTAGTATACCCTTCAGGTCTCACAGCTCACAAGTGGAATTGCACAACAAAACAGAGACATTCAATGAGAACATAAATTCAAAGAGAAAATGATTCTTGCCGAATATGGAAAAAGTGCAAATGTGTGGATAGGAGTTGCTGGAAATGTTATGGTGCTGTAGCAATTTCTTTACTAAATAGCCATCAGCAAAAAATGTCTACGTCATTTTCTACCCAGACTTTTAAGCTCTCGGCTAACAATAACAAGGAATAATGCAAACCATGCAGAGACGAGTGAGAGTTGTATGTGAAATGAATGGATGTTTCAGTACTGTTGTGAAGTATGTTATGCAAAATTGTTTGTAGTAAAAATCAAATTCCCTGTGAACACTGAAAATGGTGGATCGATAAATCCCATTTGAAAACCAAACTGAAGAGAGAAACCCAAGGGTGGCATGGGGAGGAGTTGTAGAGATGGTGGGCTCTGCACTGTGAGAGGGTAAGTGATAATCTCCCCCTCTAGTTTTAAGCAGCTTTTTGATTCTTTATGCACTTTTTTTTGTTGGGAAAAATACCCACCACCTTAAAAAAAAAAAAAAACATTCTCAGTTTAGTCACGAACTGGCGACAGAACTCTGCTGTACACAGACTCCTGCCATGGGTGACTCCTCCCTGTCTATGCCTTGTCTCATGCCCATGGGGTAGTTGGGGTGGCCCGCCATGCCAGTCTCTTGTCTGGGGTTGGAGAAGGCACCCAGTCCCATGGTCATGCTGCCATTCTGGCCAAAGTCCAAGGCTGCGTTGGCGGGGAGTGGGCGCAGCTGGTAAGCCTGGTTTCCCTGGGCCCCGGTGGAGGAGGAAGATGTGGAGGAGGAGGAGGCGGAGGAAGACAGGGAGGTCATGGACAGGTGGCCGTGCACCACCTCCACTGAGTTCTCTGTGGAGGCACTGTTGATTGGGGAGTGGTAGAGGCGGGGCCTGGGCCGTGCAGGCAGACCCTGATGTCCATGGGCTTGGTGGGTGTGATGGTGTACGTGATGGTGTCCGTGGTGATGGTGGGCGGAGGAGCTGTTGCCGGGGGCCGAGAGGTGGATGGCCTTGGGCGCCTGGGGAGGCACGTGAAAGGTGGTCTCCTGGACGGGATGGGTCTCCACTGTCACTGTCTGCGCCCCTTTGCCACCAGCCCAGCCAACTGGGGGAGGGAACGGCTGCTTCGCCTGACACACAACAGCAACAGTCAGTAACTCAAATGACTGATAACAGGTCATTCAACTCTCTGTCTGAAGAACAACACCTATGTTTAGAGAACCCAATACTTCCCCAAGCTGCTCATCTAGCTCAAATGGGAGTTGAGGTAAAGGTTGTCAACCTGGGTTATAGACTAAGTGACAATCTAGTGGGGGTCACTTGGCAAGGAGCAATAGTGTGTGTGTGAGACTTGCCTGTGGGCAGAGATTTTCGCAGTCCATAGCCTGCACGGCGGCACTGAAGTGACCTCCGCTGTGCCGGTGCTGATGCGTGGGGTCCGAGCGCGCCCGCCCACTGGTGCTCGTGCCAGACGACCCTCCTGCAGAGCAGAGACCCAAACAGAAATGTTGAACATTTGAGACAGTTCCAATCTCCCTTAAGGCTCTGCACTACTGTACCTGAGCTGTTAGTTAATAATACACATTTTTATAATTTCATCATGTCTAATCAGGGGTTAAAAAAAGAAATTCCTTGGGAATCCCAGAGTGTGAGGGGCTAGAGCAAACAAAGTGAACACCCCGGGGGTTCCCCAGGATTGGACTGAGAGACATGAGTCAAAGGCCATGCTTCAAAGTGAACCCCCAGTTCTCCATGCAGCGTTACGGCTGCGCTGCTCTCCCTACCTGAGCTGGAGGAGGTGCTGGAGGTCGTTCCAGAGGACTGAGACTGCTCCAGCGCGGGGCTGGTGGACACACTGCTGCTCGTGTTGGTCCCCTCATCCGTGGTCTTCTTGAAGAAGCTGTGCTGCAGAGCATAGTAGGGCTGGATGCGGCTCTTGGGGTCGTAGTCCAGCATCCGAAGGATCAGGTCCTTGAACTTCAAGTAGTCAGCGACAGCGTGGCCAGACTCGCCCGCCCGCCGCCCCCCAGGACCCCCCGCCTCAACACCCAGGATGCTGTGCAGCTTCCGCGTGCCCGGCGGCTTATACTGAACATACACAGAACAGAGACTTTGAGGATATATACACTCACTATTGCAAAGGACAGTTATGACATCACAACAACATAATTGACAGAGCGATTTGTTGAACTCACCCTTTTGCCATCTTTGGTCTTCTTTGCACCCCACGTACTGTCAGACATCTTCTCAAAGAACTTCCTGGCCTTGGGCGCCTGGTCCAATATGTAATTGGGAGGAACACCCAGAACTTCCACTATTTTGTTCATTTGATCAATCTGAAAAATCAGGAAGCCACAATTAAGAATAATGTCTTACCCTCTTCGGCACTGTAACTGCGTTTTAAATTGCCTGTACCTCAGTATAGGAAAAAGGACAAAGGTCTTACATGACATTTATCAACAATACAACAACTAAACTAGGTGAAAAGTGGAGTCCTGTCTCCTAGTGAAACGTTCAAAAGCACTACAGCTCCCTCTGTTGGTCTTTATTAGGTTCTCACCATCTATGCTCATCTTGACGAAGACAAAAACTGAAAATCTTTCTCACATGAGCACAATGACGCATCACAAGTCAGCATTATCTGACAAGTTATATTATCCTAAATAAAGACTGCATCTTTACATTCCATGAGTTCTACCTCATTGGCCCCACTGAAGAGGGGCTCTCCGGTGTGCATCTCCACCAGAATGCAGCCCAGGGACCACATGTCGATGGCCAGGTCGTAAGGCATGCCCAGCAGCACCTCTGGGGAGCGGTAGAAGCGACTCTGGATGTACTGGTAGATCTGAGGGGAAAGAAATGGGTCACGGCTGTTAGGACATGGCATTTTTGTTATCCTTTTATAGGAGGTCAACTATAAGGAAGACAGACGGCAGATTATCAGCAGAAATAAAGTTGGTTAGCTACAATGGTTGTTCCCTCAAGGTAAGAAGCGGATAACTGGTTGCACAATTTGGTACCATATGTGTAGGGTAAGCCATGTAATGTGCAACCCTTTCCAGAAAAATCTGAAAAAAAACTTTTGTTTTCTATCTTTCCACATCATACTCTACCAATCCATCTATCCAATAATAAATCAGTCCATTAAATTGAGAATCCATAGTGGGTCACAAGCATATCAGATTCTCAGCTTTGGTGTAAGACTTTTTATGTGGCATAAAATTCACCATATTAAACTACAGGAAAAACAAATACAAACTTCAGTGTCACATCCTCATTCACCTACCCTCTGTTAGTGATGGGGGGGACCGATACAGTTACAAATCACAAAATTGTTTCGTACAATATTATATAGATACTTTGAATACAAGTATCCAAGTATTGTTTTTGCTAGGTAGCGTTCGCTAGCGCTAGTCGGCTGTACCTATGCAAAAACTCTATATAGCTTGCTCTCTATCTTATTTTTAAAATAGTGAGAAAACATGTTTCAGTATGAAGAAAATACTACTTTTTTCATGCGCTCCCTTGTCTCTCTGCCGCAGACATACAGAGCATTCGGAAAGTATTCAGACCCCTTGACCTTTTCCACCTTTTGTTATGTTACAGCCTTATTCTAAAATGGATTAAATAAAAAAATTGTCCTCGTCAATCTACACACAATACCCCATAATGACAAAGCAAAAACAGATTTTTAGAATGTTTGGAAATGTATAACAAAATAAAACCTTATTTACATAAGTAGTCAGACCTTTTGCTATGAAACTCGAAATTGAGCTCAGGTGCATCCTGTTTCCATTGATCATCCTTGAGATGTTTCTACAACTTGGAGTCCACCTGTGGTAAATTCAATTGATTGGACATGATTTGGAAAGGCACACACCTGTATAGATAAGGCCCCACAGTTGACAGTGAATGTCAGAGCAAAAACCAAACCATGAGGTCGAAGGAATTATCCGTAGAGCTCTGAGGCAGGATTGTGTCGAGGCACAGATCTGGGAAAGGCTACCAAAAAATGTCTGCAGCATTGAAGGTCCCCAAGAACACAGTGGCCTCCATCATTATTATTATTATTATTATTATTCTTAAATGGAAGAAGTTTGGAACCACCAAGACTCTTCCTAGAGCTGGCCGCCCGGCCAAACTGAGCAATTGGGGGAGAAGGGCTTTGGTCAGGGAGGTGACCAAGAACCCAATGGTCACTCTGACAGAGCTCCAGAGTTCATCTGTGGAGATGGGAGAACCTTCCAGAAGGACAACCATCTGGGGGCGAAGGTTCACCTTCCAACAGGACAACGACCCTAAGCACACAGCCAAGACAACGCAGGAGTGGCTTCAGGACAAATCTCTGAATGTCCTTGAACGGCCCAGCCAGAGCCTGGACTTGAACCCGATCGAACATCTCTGGAGACCTGAAAATAGCTGTGTAGTGACGCTCCCCATCCAACCTGACAGAGCTTGAAGAGGATCTGCAGAGAAAAATGGGAGAAACTCCCCAAATACATTTACATTTTAGTCATTTAGCAGAGGCTCTTATCCAGAGCGACTTACAGTTAGTGAGTGCATACATTTATTTTCTCTCTTTTTTTTTTTTTATACTGGCCCCCTGTGGGAATCGAACCCACAACCCTGGCGTTGCAAGCGCCATGCTCTACCAACTGAGCTACACAGGGTCCAAGCTTATACAGGTGTGCCAAGCTTGTAGCGTCATACCCAAGAAGACTCGAGGCTGTAATCGCTGCCAAAGGTGTTTCAACAAAGTACTGAGTAAAGGGTTTGAATACTTATGTAAATGTTATATTTCAGTTTTTTTTTTTTTTATATAAATGTGCAAAACAAATTTAAAAACCTGTTTTTGCTTTGTCATTATGGGGTATTATGTGTAGATTGATGAGGGGGAAAAAACAATTTAATCCATTTTAGAATAAGGCTGTAACGTAACAAAATGTGGAAAAAGTCAAGGGGTCTGAATACTTTCCGAATGCACTGTATAGTGAGCTATATGTTTGGAACATCAAATCGCAATACCTATAGAATCATGAGAATTGCAATACATATCGTATCGGCACCTAAGTATCGCAAGGCCCCTGGCAATTCCCAGCCTTACCCTCTGTCCCAGCTGGCAGGAGCTGCCAAAGTCCACAATCTTGATGGCGCTCCTCTTGGGGTTGCACAGCAGGATGTTCTCGGGCTTCAGGTCACAGTGGATGATGCTGAGCTCGGGCGTGGCCAGGAACAACAGCGCTGTGCACATTTGCTGGGCAAACTTGCGTGTGAGGTTGAGTGAGACGCCACGGAAGTTGGTGTTCCGCAGCAGGTCGTACAGGTTGTAGGAGAGCATCTCAAACACCAAGCACAGGTGGCTCCGGAACATGAAGTGGCGCTTAAGGTGAACTGGAGAGAGAGAGAGGAGGGGAGAAAAAAATAAGACTAATGAGCATTTGTTTGAGTGAGGTTGATATTGCATGATACACTAGTGATGTTAACGTATTGGATACTCGTCATTGACTAGCGCATGTTAATGGGCTGGTTTCCTGGACACAGATTAAGCCTCATCCTGGAGTAAAAAGCATTTTCAATTGAGCTTCTCCAAAACATTTACATTTTAGTCATTTAGCAGATGCTCTTATCCAAAGCCACTTACAATAGTGAGTGCATACATTTTAATACTTATTTCGTACTGGTCCCCCGTAGGAATCGAACCCACAACCCTGGCGCTTGCTGGCTATGCTCTACCAACTTAGCTACACAGGACCGCCAGATGTATCTATCAAGTAGATGCCGCACTTTCATCAAGATGTTTTGGGGTCTTTCTGGTATTACTATAGTAAAGACTCCATCACAAAGTTGAACAGAGGTCAAGTGTATGTACAGTGGGGGGAAAAAGTATTTAGTCAGCCACCAATTGTGCAAGTTCTCCAACTTAAAAAGATGAGAGAGGCCTGTAATTTTCATCATAGGTACACGTTAACTATGACAGACAAAATGAGAAAAAAAAATTCCAGATAATCACATTGTAGGATTTTTAATGAATTTATTTGCAAATTATGGTGGAAAACAAGTATTTGGTCAATAACAAAAGTTTCTCAATACTTTGTTATATACCCTTTGTTGGCAATGACACAGGTCAAACGTTTTCTGTAAGTCTTCACAAGGTTTTCACACACTGTTGCTGGTATTTTGGCCCATTCCTCCATGCAGATCTCCTCTAGAGCAGTGATGTTTTGGGGCTGTCGCTGGGCAACACAGACTTTCAACTCCCTCCAAAGATTTTCTATGGGGTTCAGATCTGGAGACTGGCTAGGCCACTCCAGGACCTTGTAATGCTTCTTACGAAGCCACTCCTTCGTTGCCCGGGCGGTGTGTTTGGGATCATTGTCATGCTGAAAGACCCAGCCACGTTTCATCTTCAATGCCCTTGCTGATGGAAGGAGGTTTTCACTCAAAATCTCACGATACATGGCCCCATTCATTCTTTCCTTTACACGGATCAGTCGTCCTGGTCCCTTTGCAGAAAAACAGCCCCAAAGCATCCACCCCCATGCTTCACAGTAGGTATGGTGTTCTTTGGATGCAACTCAGCATTCTTTGTCCTCCAAACACGACGAGTTGAGTTTTTACCAAAAAGTTCTATTTTGGTTTCATCTGACCATATGACATTCTCCCAATCCTCTTCTGGATCATCCAAATGCACTCTAGCAAACTTCAGACACGCCTGGACATGTACTGGCTTAAGCAGGGGGACACGTCTGGCACTGCAGGATTTGAGTCCCTGGCGGCGTAGTTTGAGTCCCTGGTGTGTTACTGATGGTAGGCTTTGTTACTTTGGTCCCAGCTCTCTGCAGGTCATTCACTAGGTCCCCCCGTGTGGTTCTGGGATTTTTGCTCACCGTTCTTGTGATCATTTTGACCCCACGGGGTGAGATCTTGCGTGGAGCCCCAGATCGAGGGAGATTATCAGTGGTCTTGTATGTCTTCCATTTCCTAATAATTGCTCCCACAGTTGATTTCTTCAAACCAAGCTGCTTACCTATTGCAGATTCAGTCTTCCCAGCCTGGTGCAGGTCTACAATTTTGTTTCTGGTGTCCTTTGACAGCTCTTTGGTCTTGGCCATAGTGGAGTTTGGAGTGTGACTGTTTGAGGTTGTGGACAGGTGTCTTTTATACTGATAACAAGTTCAAACAGGTGCCATTAATACAGGTAACGAGTAGAGGACAGAGGAGCCTCTTAAAGAAGAAGTTACAGGTCTGTGAGAGCCAGAAATCTTGCTTGTTTGTAGGTGACCAAATACTTATTTTCCACCATCATTTGCAAATAAATTCATTAAAAATCCTACAATGTGATTTTCTGGAATTTTTTTCTCTCAATTTGTCTGTCATAGTTGACGTGTACCTATGATGAAAATTACAGGCCTCTCTCATCTTTTTAAGTGGGAGAACTTGCACAATTGGTGGCTGACTAAATACTTTTTTTCCCCACTGTATGTATGCATGCATGCATGTATGTATGTGAGTGAGAGCGCGAGCTAGCGAGGTGTATAGGGAAAAAGGAGAATCTGGCTGTACCTATGTAGTACTTCATCTCCGTGTCATGTTTGTTCATGAGCTCGAGGAGCCGCACTTCAATCTGGGCTTGATTTAGAAAAGCCTTCTTGTTCTTGATGATCTTAATTGCCACCCACTCCTGCTCAACACGGTCATATGCTTTTACAACCTGGAGAGAGACAAGGCCAAACACAAATCATCGTAAACACAATGAGCCAGGCGGGAACACATGCACTAAACAGGGGGGTGGGGCTCTGATCTATTACAGCCTCTTCAGTCACACACACTTCTGCTGGCTCTCTGCTGAATAACCGTGTAACTGACGGTTATAGATGAAGACAGTCATGAAAATAAAATAACCGGCCTACATTCATTTTAGGATTTTTAAAATGTTTTCTTTATTTTCATGTAAATAAACTTTACCTAATAGAGGGAGTGTTTACTAATGATTATAAGCAATTGTTTTGCTAACTTAGTCTGTCTATTAAACATTCTACAGCTTCTTTCCAACTGTCCTTTGATGCTAACGTGCTAATGTGTCAAATGGAAAATGCGCTTATCTTCTCCAACATGCCATGGTATAATTTGATACGGAATCTTTCCTTAATATGTAGACTAATCAACGCTGATCAGTCCCGGTCCTGGCCGATATGCCGCCCTAGACGAGACACCAAAAAATTGCCGCCCTCCTAACCCTGCAAAGTAGAATAGTAGTAGCCTAGGCTATACAGTATCAGCCCGCAATACACTTTTATGAATGTGGTAGCCTACCGTTTGTAAAACAGGCAATTTACCGTTAATCCTTGTCATGTATTAATTACAGTAATTTACACTTCTAATTTTCGGAGTAGAAACATTGTTTGCAGAGTTCATAACCGGCTACACTTGTGAGAAACAAGTTTTGGTTTATTTCATACCATCATTTACACGCTCTGTCCTGTTAATGTTGACAGAGCGCGCGTGCCTGAGCACAAATAGAAGTACCTTGCCTGCTTCTCGCAAATATCAAAATGTAGGAAAGTGCCCAGCTGGGTTTCTCAGTCATTTTTTCTTCACCTCACACTGTAAGTCAACAAAGTATACAGTTGAAGTCGGAAGTTTACATACACTTAGGCTGGTCATGGCTCACATCAACAGCATTATCCCAGAAACCCTAGACCCACTCCAATTTGCATACCGCCCCAACAGATCCACAGATGATGCAATCTCTATTGCACTCCACACTGCCCTTTCCCACCTGGACAAGAGGAACACCTACGTGAGAATGCTATTCATTGACTACAGCTCAGCATTCAACACCATAGTGCCCTCTAAGCTCATCACTAAGCTAAGGATCCTGGGACTAAACACCTCCCTCTGTAACTGGATCCTGGACTTCCTGACGGGCTGCCCCCAGGTGGTAAGGGTAGGTAACAACACATCTGCCACACTGATCCTCAACACGGGGGCCCCTCAGGGGTGCGTGCTCAGTCCCCTCCTGTACTCTCTGTTCACCCATGACTGCATGGCCAGGCACGACTCCAACACCATCATTAAGTTTGCAGACGACACAACAGTGGTAGGCCTGATCACCGACAACGATGAGACAGCCTATAGGGAGGAGGTCAGAGACCTGGCCGTGTGGTGCCAGGACAACAACCTCTCCCTCAACGTGACCAAGACAAAGGAGATGATTGTGGACTACAGGAAAAAAAAGAGGACTGAGCACGCCCCCATTCTCATCGACGGGGCTGTAGTGGAACAGGTTGAGAGCTTCAAGTTCCTTGGTGTCCACATCCCCAACGAACTATCATGGTCCAAACACACCAAGACAGTCGTGAAGAGGGCACGACAAAGCCTATTCCCCCTCAGGAGACTGAAAAGATTTGGCATGGGTCCTCAGATCCTCAAAAAATTCTACAGCTGCACCATGGAGAGCATCCTGACTGGTTGCATCACCGCCTGGTATGGCAACTGCTTGGCCTCCGACCGCAAGGCACTACAGAGGGTAGTGCGTACGGCCCAGTACATCACTGGGGCCAAGCTTCCTGCCATCCAGGACCTCTATACCAGGCGGTGTCAGAGGAAGGCCCTCAAAATTGTCAAAGACTCCAGCCACCCTAGTCATAGACTGTTCTCCCTGCTACCGCACGGCAAGCGGTACCGGAGTGCCAAGTCTAGGTCCAAAAGACTTCTCAACAGCTTTTACCCCCAAGCCATAAGACTCCTGAACACCTAATCATGGCTACCCGGACTATTTGCACTGCCCCCCCACCCCATCCTTTTTACGCTGCTGCTACTCTGTTAATTATTTATGCATAGTCACTTTAACTCTACCCACATGTACATATTACTTCAACTATCTCAACTAGCCGGTGCCCCCGCACATTGACTCTGCACCGGTACCCCCCTGTATATATAGCCTCCCTACTGTTATTTTATTTTATTTCTGCTCTTTTTTTCTCAACACTTTTTTTGTTGTTGTTTTATTTTTACTTTTTTTGTTAAAATAAATGCACTGTTGGTTAAGGGCTGTAAGTAAGCATTTCACTGTAATGTCTGCACCTGTTGTATTCGGCGCATGTGACCAATAAAATTTGATTTGATTTGATTTGACTTAGGTTGGAGTCATTAAAACTAGTTTTTCAACCACTCCACAAATTTCTTGTTAACAAACTATAGTTTTGGCAAGTCGGTTAGGACATCTACTTTGTGCATGACACAAGTCCTTTTTCCAACAATTGTTTACAAACAGATTATTTCACTTATAATTCACTGTTTCACAATTCCAGTGTACATACACTAAGTTGACTGTGCCTTTAAACAGCTTGGAAAATTCCAGAAAATGATGTAATGGCTTAAGAAGCTTCTGATAGGCTAATTGACATCATTTGAGTCAATTGGAGGTGTACCTTTGGATGTATTTCAAGGCCTACCTTCAAACTCAGTGCATCTTTGCTTGACATCATGGGAAAATCAAAAGAAATCAGCCAAGACCTCAGAAATTTTTTTTGTAGACCCCCAGAAGTCTGGTTCATCCTTGGGAGCAATTTCCAAACGCCTGAAGGTACCACGTTCATCTGTACAAACAATAGTACGCAAGTATAAACACCATGGGACCACGCAGCAGTCATACCGCTCAGGAAGGAGACGAGTTCTGTCTTCTAGAGATGAACGTACTTTGGTGCGAAAAGTGCAAATCAATCCCAGAACAACAGCAAAGGACCTTGTGAAGATGCTGGGGGAAACAGGTACAAAAGTATCTATATCCACAGTAAAACTAGTCCTATAATCGGCATAACCTGAAAGGCCGCTTAGCAAGGAAGAAGCCACTGCTCCAAAACCGCCATAAAAAAGCCAGACTACGGTTTGCAACAGCACATGGGGACAAAGATCGTACTTTTTGGAGAAATGTCCTCTGGTCTGATTAAACAAAAATAGAACTGTTTGGCAATAATGACCATCGTTATGGTTGGAGGAAAAAGGTGGATGCTTGCAAGCCAAAGAACACCATCCCAACCGTGAAGCACAGGGGTGACAGCATCATGCTGTGGGGGTGCTTTGCCGCAGGAGGGACTGGTGCACTTCACAAAATAGATGGGAGGAAGGAAAATTATGTGGATATATTGAAGCAACATCTCAAGACATCAGTCAGGAAGTTAAAGCTTGGTCGCAAATGGGTCTTCCAAATGGACAATGACCCCAAGCATACTTCCAAAGTTGTGGCAAAATGGCTTAAGGACAACAAAGTCAAGGTATTGGAGTGGCCATCACAAAGCCCTGACCTCAATCCTATTGAACATTTGTGGGCAGAACTGAAAAGGCATGTGCGAGCAAGGAGGCCTACAAACCTGACTCAGTTACATCAGCTCTGTCAGGAGGAATGGGCCAAAATTCACCCAACTTATTGTGGGAAGCTTGTGGAAGGCTACCCGAAACGTTTGACCCAAGTTACACAATTTAAAGGCAATGCTATCAAATACTAATTGAGTGTATGTAAACTTCTGACCCACTGGGAATGTGATGAAATAAATAAAAGCTGAAATAAATCAATCATTCTCTCTACTATTATTCTGACATTTCACATTCTTAAAATAAAGTGGTGATCATAACTGACCTAAGACAGGGAATTTTTTACTAGGATTAAATGTCAGGAATTGTGAAAAACTGAGTTTAAATGTATTTGGCTAAGGTGTATGTAAACTTCCGACTTCAACTGTACATAGGCGTACAGAGGCCCATTATCAGCAACCATCATTCCTGTGTTCCAATGGCACATTGTGTTTCTAATCCAAGTGTATCATTTTAAAAGGCTAATTGATCATTAGAAAAACATTTTGCAATTATGTTAGCACAGCTGAAAACTGTTGTGCTGATTAAAGAAGCAATAAAACTGGCCTTCTTGAGACTAGTTGAGTATCTGGAGCATCAGCAATTGTTGGTTCGATTACAGGCTCAAAATGGCCAGACACAAAGAACTTTCTTCTGAAACTCGTCAGTCTATTCTTGTTCTGAGAAATGAAATCTATTCCATGCGAGAAATTGCCAAGAAACTGCAGATCGCGTACAACGCTGTGTACTACTCCCTTCACAGAACAGCGCAAACTGGCTTTAACCAGAATAGAAAGAGGAGTGGGAGGGCCCGGTGCACAACTGAGCAAGAGGACAAATACATTAGAGTGTCTAGATTGAGAAACAGGTGCCTCACAGGTCCTCAACTGGCAGCTTCATTAAATAGTACCCGCAAAACACCAGTCTCAACATCAACAGTGAAGAGGCGACTCCGGGATGCTGACCTTCTAGGCAGAGTTGCAAAGAAAAAGCCATATCTCAGACTGGCCAATAAAAAGAAAAGATTAAGAGGGGCAAAAGAACACAGACACTGAACAGAGGAAGATTGGAAAAAAGTGTTATGGACAGACAAATCGAAGTTTGAGGTGTTCGGATCACAAAGAAGAACATTTGCGAGACGCAGACCAAATGAAAAGATGCTGGAGGAGTGCTTGATGCATCTCTCAAGCATGGTGGAGGCAATGTGATGGTCTGGGCTTGCTTTGGTGGTGGTAAAGTGGGAGATTTGTACAGGATGAAAGGGATCTTGAAGAAGGAAGGCTATCACTCCATTTTGCAATGCCATGCCATACCCTGTGGACAGCGCTTGATTGGAGCCAATTTCCTCCTACAACAGGACAATGACCCAAAGCACAGCTCCAAACTATGCAATAACTATTTAGGGAAGAAGCAGTCAGCTGGTATTCGGTCTATAATGGAGTGGCCAGCACAGTCACCGGATATCAACCCTATTGAGCTGTTGTGGGAGCAGTTTGACCGTAAGAAGTGCCCATCAAGCCAATCCAACTTGTGGGAGGTGCTTCAGGAAGCATGGGGTGAAATCTCTTCAGATTACCTCAACAAATTGACAACTAGAATGCCAAAGGTCTGCAAGGCTGTAATTGCTGCAAATGGAGGATTCTTTGAAAGCAAAGTTTGAAGGACAATTATTATTTAAATTAAAAATCATTATTTCTAACCTTTTCTATTCATTTTGCTATATTTCTTATTCAAACTAATTTCATGTATGTTTTCATGACCCCAAACTTTTGAACGGTAGTGTACATGTCAGGTCAATCTTAACGACCATGTCTAACCCTTTAAAAGGCCTGGTGGTGGTTGAAACAATACCAGGTGAGCTTCTGCAAAATGGTAACTGCGCCACTGGTGGTTGACAATACATGCATGTCATCATGTGACTCACTTGTCCAAACGAGCCTTTGCCTATCAAGGAGTCAATCTCGTAGCGGTCCATCCATTTCTCCCCGTTTTTTACGATGTAGTCGTAGTTGTCGTCATCATAGCCGTCGTTGAAGATCTTCCTCTCTTTCTTGTGACTGGAGTTGTCGCCCTGGCCCTGTTGGTGTCTCCGCTTCTTTTTTGCATAGTATACCTGCCAACAAAAAGGTGTTGTTACTAGATTACCCATCAGGTAGGTGGCACACGGAGCCTGGGAGGTGGTTGCTAAAAGGTAGGCCCTGACCACCACTGTGCAGTACAAGCTGAGATTGCATGGGATGTTGTCACTATTGCGATTCAAATCTTCAAGTGATCAGTGCAGGCCTTGAGCGACCAGAGTTCCAGGTACAGGTGTAGTGTGTGGTGGAGGGAGAGTGGTGGAACTTACCTCGTTGATGCATTTGTAGGTTTTGATCAGGTCAATAGAGAGCTTCCTCAGGGGAGCCGAGGACGGGTCGCGAAAGCACTGGGGCATGCGCCTCTGTAACATGACAACATCAGGGGTCACCTTAAAACAGACGCACCAAACACAGAGAACATCACCGTTTCAGAAACACACACTCACCTTGTTTCTCATCAAATCAATTAATCAAGTGAATCTGTTGTTTATGTGGCAAATGTTGCTATTCATGACAAATTATTTAAAAGAACAGAACAGTGTCCCACAGGGATCGATTATTGGTTTGGTTCTTTTCACATTAACAATATTGGTTTATAAAAAATTAAATGGACAAACAAAATGCACTTGTATGCAGATGACACTGTGGTGTATGCTATTGCCCCCACAGCTGACCAGGCTCTGTCAGAGCTTCAATCTGCCTGTATTGCCCTGCAGAAAGCCTTTCTTGTACTGAAATTGGCACTTAATGCAGGTAAAACAAAGTGTTATTAAGTGTGTAAAACCATGTTATTTTCTAAATCAGGAAAAAATGTATCTGATGTATACATACTTTGGATGGTGTCCTCATTGATTGTGTCGCCACTTATAAATATCTGAGCATCTGGATTGACGAAAAGCTATCTTTCAAAAATAATGTTGATGAGTTAGTTTAGAAAATAAGATTTAAAATAGGCGTCTTCTATAGAAACAGGTCCTCTCTTTCGTTAAATAACATGAAGGAAGAAAAAAAAACACCCCGTAAGCACTCACTTGTCATCATGAAGTGCTTTGAGAGACTAGTTAAGGATCATATCACCTCCACCTTACCCGACACCCTAGACCCACTACAACTTGCATACCGCCCCAACAGATCCACGGATGACGCAATCTCCATCGTACTGCACACTGCCCTATCCCATCTGGACAAGAGGAATACCTATGTAAGAACGCAGTTCATCGACTACAGCTCAGCCTTCAACACCATAGTGCTCGCCAAGCTCATCACTAAACTTGGGGCCCTGGGTCTGAACCCCGCCCTGTGCAACTGGGTCCTGGACGGGCCGACCCCAGGTGGTGAAGGTAAGCAACAACACCTCCGCTACACAGATCTTCAACATGGGGGCCCCACATGGGTGCCTGCTCAGCCCACTCCTGTACTCCCATGACTTCCCATGTCTCCAACTCAATCATCAAGTTTGCAGACGACACAACAGTGGTAGGACTGATTACCAACAACGACGAAACAGGCTACAGGGAGGTGGTGTGTTGGTGTGAGCCCTGGCGGAGTGGTGCCAGGAAAATAACCTCTCCCTCAACAAAACAAAGGAGCTAATCGTGGACTTCAGAAGACAGCAGAGGGAGCGCGCCCCCATCCACAGGGCCGCAGTGGAGAGAGTGAAAAGCTTAATATTCCTCGGCATGCGCATCACTGACAACCTGAAATGGTCCAGCCACACAGACAATGTGGTGAAGAAGGCGCAACAGCGCCTCTTCAACCTCAGGATGCTGAAAAAATTATTCTTGGCCCCCCCAAGACCCTCACAAACTTCTACAGATGCATGTCCCTAATGTTTTGTACACTCTGTGTATATACTGTATTCTAGTCAAGGCTCATCCTATACAACTACCGCTGTACACACTTTTTCTATTCATATACTGTCCATAAGATCTATACACAACATCATATACACCGAGTTTACCAAACATTAGGAACACCGAGTATACCAAACATTAGGAACACCTTCCCCCCGCCTCAATTCATCGGGGCATGGACTCTAGAAGGTGTCGAAAGCTTCCACTGGGATGCTGGCCCATGTTGACTCCAATGTTTCCCACAGTTGTGTCAAGTTGGCTGGATGTCCTTTGGGTGGTGGACCATTCTTGATACACACAGGAAACTGTTGAGTGTGGGAAACTGTTGAGCGTGAAAAACCCAGCAGTGTTGCAGTTCTTGACAAAAACCAGTGCACCTGGCACCTACTACCATACCCCGTTCAAAAGTCACTTAAATCTTGTCTTGCCCATTCATCCTCTGAATGGCACACATACACAGTCCATGTCTCAAGGCTTAAAAATCCTTCTTTAACCCGTCTCCTCCTCTTCATCTACACTGATTGAAGTGGATTTAACATGTGACATCAATAATAGATCATAACTCATCTGGATTCACCGGGTCAGTCTGTCATGGAAAGAGCAGGTATTCTTAATGTTTTGTACACTCAGTGTACATATACAGTACCAGTCAAAGGTTTGGACACACCTACTCATTCAAGGGTTTTTCTGTATTTTTACAGTGTAGAATAATAGTGAAGACATCAAAACTATGAAATAACACATGGAATCATGTAGTAACCAAAACATTGTTAAACAAATCAAAATATATTTACATTTGAGATGCTTCAAATAGCCACCCTTTGCCTTGATGACAGCTTTGCACACTCCTGTCATTCTCTCAACCAGCTTCACCTGGAATGCTTTTCCAACAGTCTTGAAGGAGTTCCCACATATGCTGAGCACTTGTTGGCTGCGTTTCCTTCACTCTGCCGTCCGACTCATCCCAAACCTTCTCAATTGGGTTGAGGTCGGGGGATTGTGGAAGCCAAGTCATCTGATGCAACACTCCATCACGCTCCTTCTTGGTAAAATAGCCATTACACAGCCTGGAGGTGTGTTGGGTCATTGTCCTGTTGAAAAACAAATGATAGTCCCACTAAGCCCAAACCAGATGGGATGGCGTATCGCTGCAGAATGCTGTGGTAGCCATGCTGTTTAAGTGTGCCTTGAATTCTAAATAAATCACAGACAGTGTCACCAGCAAAGCACCCCCACATCATAACACCTCCTCCTCCATGCTTCACGGTGGGAACTACACATGCGGAGATCAACCGTTCACCCACACCGCGTCTCACAAAGACACGGCGGTTGGACCCAAAAATCTCCAATTTGAACTCCAGACCAAAGGACATTTCCACCAGTCTAATGTCCACTGCTCGTGTTTCTTGGCCCAAGCAGGTCTCTTCTTCTTATTGGTGTCCTTTAGTAGTGGTTTCTTTGCAGCAATTCGAACATGAAGGCCTGATTCACACAGTCTCCTCTGAACAGTTGATGTTGAGATGTGTGTTACTTGAACTATGTGAAGCATTTATTTGGGCTGCAATTTCTGAGGCTGGTAACTCTAATGAACTTATCCTCTGCAACAGAGGTAACTCTGGGTCTTCCATTCCTGTGGCGGTCCTCATGAGAGCCAGTTTCATCATAGCGCTTGATGGGTTTTGCGACTGCACTTGAAGAAACGTTTAAAGGTTCTTCTTTCCGGATTGACTGACCTTCATGTCTTAAATTAATGATGGACTGTCGTTTCTCTTTGCTTATTTGAGCTGTTCTTGCCATAATATGGACTTGGTCTTTTACCAAATAGGGCCATCTTCTGTATACCCCCCCCCACCTTGTCACAACACAACTGATTGGCTCAAATGCATTAAGGAGGAAAGAAATTCCACAAATAAACTTTTAAGAAGGCACACCTGTTAATTGAAATGCATTCCAGGTGACTACCTCATGAAGCTGGTTGAGAGAATGCCAAGAGTGTGCAAAGCTGTCATCAAGGCAAAGGGTGGCTATTTGAAGAATCCAAATATAAAATATTTAGATTTGTTTAACACTTTTCTGGTTCCTACATGATTCCATGTGTGTTATTTCATAGTTTTGATGTCTTCACTAGTATTCTACAATGTAATTATTTATTTTTTAAGATAGAAAAACCCTTGAATGAGTAGGTGTGTCCAAACTTATGACTGGTAGTGTACATTTATTTTCCGGACTCTGACATTCTAATATTTCTTCCTTTCTTTGCGTGTATTGTTTTATATCGTCAGCTATTACTGCACTGACTCTCTATCATGTAGGGAACTCAGTTGTGGATCTAAATTTGAGCTTTGATGAGGGCCTGATATCCGAAACACACACATGGGCAGCAGCCACTGTACACTGAAGTCATGGGTGTGTTTGACAGCACCCTGCAGTTTATTTTGGAAATAGCCGTGACTGTCGTCAGTAATAAAAGTGAGAAATTACCCTGTTTATTATTAGTCCACTGTCCTGGACACGCTGGCCGTAATGTTGCCTGTACAGTAAGAATAACCCCGGTGTTCACGACGGGGTCGGGATATATTTTGAGAAGTGCCTTTTACCAGGAAAGGAAAGGCGGCCAGCAAGCAGTGTTGTGTAAGGGAGGCACGGGCCGCAGGGCTTGGGGTTAGTACCACTTTGTGTGCGAGTGTGTTTTGGTGTATGTGTAAGGTTTTTGGTTTGTGTGTGTATTTATGTCAATGCATGTGAGTATGAGTGTATGATTGTGTGTGTAGCTGTAGCTAGCGTACCTGGCTGGCGATAGACTGCTGCGCCTGCTCGCTGTAGTGCAGAGCCGGCACAGACGGGTCAGTAGTCTGCTGGTGCTGCTCACTGTACTGCTGGTGTGAATGGGGCATGGGAGCAGCCATCTGAAGCCCAGCAGAGTGGAACGAAAACAAGGGAGCAAGCTGGACAGATGAAGGTTTGCATGCTGAAGTCTCTCCTCCTGAAAGAGAGGGACATGTCAGCTTCTGATCGACACACATTCAATAGGTTCTCACAAGGCCCCATTCTCAGTCATCATACTGGGGGCCAGTATGAAAAATAAAAAAATAATGTATGCACTCACTAACTCTGGATAAGAGCGTCTGCTAAATGACAAAAATGTAATGTAAAATGTGAACCCTTGCTACTGTGTTCCTTTACATAAATGCTAACTTAAGAAATTATGTAATTGTGGTTTGAATAAATCACCGCGTTTGTACAGTGAGGGAAAAAAGTATTTGATCCCCTGCTGATTTTGTATTTTTGCCCACTGACAAAGAAATGACCAGTCTATAATTTTAATGGTAGATTTATTTGAACAGTGAGAGACAGAATAAAAACAAAAAAATCCAGAAAAACGCATGTCAAAAATGTTATAAATTGATTTTTCATTTTAATGAGGGAAATAAGTATTTGACCCCCTCAATCAGAAAGATTTCTGGCTCCCAGGTGTCTTTTATACAGGTAACGAGCTGAGATTAGGAGCATACGCGAGTGCTCCTAATCTCAGCTCGTTACCTGTATAAAAAGACACCTGTCCACAGAAGCAATCAATCAGATTCCAAACTCTCCACCATGGCCAAGACCAAAGAGCTCTCCAAGGATGTCAGGGACAAGATTGTAGACCTACACAAGGCTGGAATGGGCTACAAGACCATCGCCAAGCAGCTTGGTGAGAAGGTGACAACAGTTGGTGCGATTATTCGCAAATGGAAGAAACACAAAAGAACTGTCAATCTCCCTCGGCCTGGGGCTCCATGCAAGATCTCACCTCGTGGAGTTGCAATGATCATGAGAACTGTGAGGAATCAGCCCAGAACTACACAGGAGGATCTTGTCAATGATCTCAAGGCAGCTGGGACCATAGTCAACAAGAAAACAATTGGTAACACACTACGCCGTGAAGGACTGAAATCCTGCAGCACCCGCAGGGTCCCCCTGCTCAAGAAAGCACATATACATGCCCGTCTGAAGTTTGCCAATGAACATCTGAATGATTCAGAGGAGAACTGGGTGAAAGTGTTGTGGTCAGATGAGACCAAAATCGAGCTCTTTGGCATCAACTCAACTCGCCGTGTTTGGAGGAGGAGGAATGCTGCCTATGACCCCAAGAACACCATCCCCACCGTCAAACATGGAGGTGGAAACATTATGCTTTGGGGGTTTTTTTCTGCTAAGGGGACAGGACAACTTCACCGCATCAAAGGGACGATGGACGGGGCCATGTACCGTCAAATCTTGGGTGAGAACCTCCTTCCCTCAGCCAGGGCATTGAAAATGGGTCTTGGATGGGTATTCCAGCATGACCATGACCCAAAACACACAGCCAAGGCAACAAAGGAGTGGCTCAAGAAGAAGCACATTAAGGTCCTGGAGTGGCCTAGCCAGTCTCCAGACCTTAATCCCATAGAAAATCTGTGGAGGGAGCTGAAGGTTCTAGTTGCCAAACGTCAGGCTCGAAACCTTAATGACTTGGAGAAGATCTGCAAAGAGGAGTGGGACAAAATCCCTCCTGAGATGTGTGCAAACCTGGTGGCCAACTACAAGAAACGTCTGACTTCTGTGATTGCCAACAAGGGTTTTGCCACCAAGTACTAAATCATGTTTTGCAGAGGGGTCAAATACTTATTTCCCTCATTAAAATGCAAATCAATTTATACAATTTTTGACATGCGTTTTTCTGGATTTTTTTGTTGTTATTCTGTCTCTCACTGTTCAAATAAACCTACCATTAAAATTATAGACTGATCATTTCTTTGTCAGTGGGCAAACGTACAAAATCAGCAGGGGATCAAATACTTTTTTCCCCTCACTGTATATCAGAGCAAGTCTTGCCATCATTCTTTTACCAGTGATTATTCCATTTACCATCAATCACTTCCCATTTCCCATAAAGCTGTAGCAATTTTGGAAGACTGCATCCTACACATGACCCAAATTGTATACACAGAAACAAGCGCCACCATAACCTTACCAACAAGAAAAAAAGCTACCAAAAGGACCATGTCAGGGAGATTATTTAATGCCTGCACACTACTAGAATATTTAATCACATCCCTGCATTATGGCCAGAAATAAGAAAGCATGGCGTGTTCACCAGATTTTAAGTTAATAATTGATTAGGAAAACTATTACAAAAGACTCAAAGCAATAGCTGCAACATTATTCATTGGGCAGAAAAGAAGCACAACAATGTCAAATGCCATGCTGTGCAATAAATTGAGACATGGGGCTATGAAAATAGGTTGAAAAATATGTTCTTCTTTAACCCCTCAAATAGCCTTCTTTACACACTACACTATCATATTCACACAAAGATTAGCAGCATACCGCAAATGTTAGATTTTTCCACAAATGTTAATAACAAACACCTTTTAGCATTATGACATACAGTAGGCCTTAATGTAACTCAACTACAGAAGAGGCTGATTAAAGAAAAGCAGAAGCAAAGTGCTCCAGGGGAAGAAAGTACAAAGTCAGTCCCAAACAGCTAGCTGACCATTGCCATTGCATTTAAAATGTCAACGAACTGTGAATGAATGATGACACATTTTGGGTCTTCCTTCTACGGTACCATGACCCTCGGCTGGACTCATGGCCTATGAGACCTTTGAAGGAAACATAATATTCCAGGGAATATTCTAATGTGGTGTGCTCATTGTATCCTTCCACCATACAAAATAGCACGGACAAAAGCCAGTTGATAGTTCTGAGATTCTGAAGTTGCTAGCCAAATGGGCTGGTTGTTCATTCTATCCATTCTATTTGCAATGGTTGAAATGCTAAATTCATTAGCATGTAGCTATGCAGGCTAGCTACACTACATTACCAAAGGTATGTTGACACCTGCTCGTCGAACCCATCATTAGAAATTCATGGGCATTAATGTGGAGTTGGTCCCACCATTGATGCTATAAAAGCCTGCACCCTTCTGGGAAGGCTTTCCACTAGATGTTGGAACATTGCTGCAGGCACTTGCTTCCATTCAGCCACAAAAGCATTAGTGAGGTAGGGCACTGATGTTGGCCGATTAGGCCTGGCTCGCAGTCGGCGTTCCAATGAATCCCAAAGGTGTTGATGGGGTTGAGGTCAGGGCTCTGTGCAGGCCAGTCAAGTTATTCCACACCAATCTCGACAAACCATTTCTGTATGGACCTCGCTTTGTGCATGGGGGCATTGTCATGCTGAAACAGGAAAGGACCTTCCCCAAACTGTTGCCACAAAGTTGGAAGCACAGAATTGTGTAGAATGTCATTGTACGCTGTAGCGTTAAGATTTCCCTTCACTAGAACTAAGGGGCCTAGCCCAAACCATGATAAAACAACCCCAGACCATTATTCCTCCTCCACTAAACTTTACAGTTGGCACTATGCATTGGGGCAGATAGCATTATCCTGGCATCCGCCAAACCCAGATTGGTCTGTCGGACTGCCAGATGGTGAAGCGTGATTCATCACTCCAGAGAACGCGTTTCCACTGCTCCAGAATCCAATGGCGGTGAGATTTACGCCACTCCAGCCGACGCTTGGCATTGCGCATGGTGATCTTAGGCTTGTGTGCGGCTGCTCGGCCATGGAAACCCATTTCATGAAGCTCCTGACTAATAGTTATTGTGCTGATGTTCCTTCCAGAGGCAGTTTGGAACTCGGTAGTGAGTGTTGCAACCGAGGACAGACGATTTTTACGGGCTACGTGATTCAGCGGTACAGTTGACTGAGGCAGCTCTAGCAGGGCAGAAATTTGACGAACTGACTTGTTGGAAAGGTGCCATCCTATGACAGTGCCACGTTGAAAGTCACTGAGCTCTTTAGTAAGGCCATTCTATTGGCAATGTTTGTCTATCGAGAATGCATGGTTGTGTGCTCGATTCTATACACCTGTCAGCAACTGGTGTGGCTGAAATAGCCGAATCCACTAATTTGAAGGGGTGTCCACATTCTTTTGTATATATAGTGTACTTATCCTTTGCTAGCTAGCCAACTAAAGTGAACAATCACATCAAGCAGCTAAAATGACAGCAAACTGTGCACTTTCGTTTGTTTTACCTTTCTTTATATTGCAATTTCTTTGCATATAGACATGATAATGATCTTGATAAATGAATTTCGCTTGGCTCAGAGACGCTGTCAGTCTCGTCACGTTCATATGCACTTTTGGGCTTGGTGGGCCAAAATATAATCTGAGTGGGGGGCCGCGGGTCAAACAAATAGACTATCTATTTAGAAATTGGAAAGGTAAACAATAGCTTTTTAGTAAGCAGTCGTAAAATCACACTTCAAACAATCAAATTGTAGCCATATAACTTGACACAACACATTCTGACCAGTATTATTAAATACTTATTTTAAAGAATTACCCACTGTGGCACAGAAATCGCAACCAACTTTCTATAGAGAGCAATACAAATGGCGTCTATTTGCAGGCATAAACGCCAAAAATAAGGTCTGTGTAGGTCTGGTAAACACAGCCTTAGGAGATCTTAAGTTTTGTTCTATAAGATAATCTTCATCAGCTAATGTAACATTTGTATAGTATTTATGTAATCAAAAAAAGCACAACGCACATAAAAGGCTTCATAATTCATAAAGGTAATGTTAATTGACTGATATCTCATAGAACACATTTACATTTTAGTCATTTAGCAGACAACGTATAAGATCTCATAAGAATGTGTTAACCTCAGATCTTATTTTCAGCGTTTTACCAAAACCCTATTCTTTCCCCATACATTTTCCCTATATGAATTGCTGAACAAACCAGAGGTAACTCATTTCCGTTTTTTAGGACTACAAGATGGCGAGCTCTATGATCATAAGGCTAATAACTTTAATATGTTTCAAATGACTTGAATATGGGAAAGGTGTAACAATTTGTATTTGCAGCAGTAAGTCACTGAAATGCATCAGCAAGGTATTGGACAGTTCAGGACAATATCAGGGAAGCTCATTAGACAGCCTTTTGGGGGCCCTAAGCGAGATTTGGTTGGCCCTGGTTTAGACAAACCCCAACTGTTGCAAACCAAATGCTA